AGCTGGGCCCCGCGGCGGCCCCGGCCCCGCTCACAGGCCCCCACCGGAGCCACGAGGGCAGCGCCGCCGCAGGCGCGGGCGGAAAGGCCATCCACGGGACCCCTGCGCGGCCCCCGCCGGCAGAACGAATGCGGAGCCCCTGGCGCCGAAGTCCGGGCGAGCCAGGGAGCTTTCACCAGGTGCCAGCTGTCCCTCGGGCGGCGAGCACGCCCCCACTCGCCCGACGCCCGCCTGACTTTTTCGGGCACCAGAGGACCCTTTGCGCGGCGTTCGAAGGCCCCCCGCGGGGGCTTCCGGCGCATCGAACAGCTGAGCTCCCACCGGAACACGTAACGGGTGGCACGACGCATCGCTTGAGCCGGCAATTTGCGGCTTGGCACGCGCCAAGGCTTGCCCTGCCTTTGTTGGCAGTGCCAGCCCGCGGCTGCCGTCGGGCACGATGGATTCCCCGGTTCCGCTCGGCCCGTCCTGACCCCAGGCGAGGCTCTGCCACTTGCGCCATCCCGTCGCCTTTCCGGGAGGCGAGGGTCCTGCACCTCACGCTCGGCCCGGCACAGAAATAACGCCGAACAGAAACGAAGGCAAGCTCTCGCACGCGTTCCGACTTCCACCCGCCCCGTCCGCCTCACACGGGCTGCCCCGACACACCGTCCATCTTCTTCGCTGCCGCTCGTGTGGGGCAGCGAGGCCTTCGGCGGACCCTGGCACTCTGCCTGCTGCTCCGTCTCCGCCGGCCAGCGCATACTGCACATGGGAGAGGCTGGGCGGGTACCCGCCGTGGTATCTAACACCCACACAAATACACAAACCGGCTACACAAACACTGCCCGCAGCACAGGCACGTGCATTCGCACGCCCTTCCCTTGCCCTAAGAGCACAACCGCGAAGGGAGCACACAACTCTGTCCGGGGCAAAACCCGCAACCGCCTCTGCAGAGGACCGCTAGGGCTTAGGAGGGGGAGCCGCACGCCGTGTGACTAGGCAGGGGAATGGCAGGCGAACGGCACGCACTCCCCCCCCCAGACTGGTGCTGGAGCCTTTCTCACACGTCAGGACCCTCCCCTGGAAAAGGTGGCGGCAAGGAGAAAGCAAAGGGTGCTCTGAAGCATGTGCAGAATGAGCGTTCTTCGCCAGAGAGAGACCGCAGCCCCCAAACATGCTGGAAAATCCTCCAGGGAGGCAGCACCCAGGGGAAGGCTGCTGCAGCCAGCCCCCCCCCCCCCCGCCCCGTGCGCACAGCCAGGCCCTTACATGGGAAAAGAGACGGCCTGCCAGGAGCCGAGCGACGCCGCCTCTGCGCAGGAGTGCCGAGCCCCGAAGAAAAGCCAGGACGGGGGAGCCATCTTTCCCTTGTGCTCCTCTGGGGAGAAAGGAGAGGGAGGGGGCCGGCCTGTTCTCCACAGTCTGCAAGACACCCAGACTCGTCACCGCTCTCTCCCCGCAAGGGTGCCTTGTGCCAGCTGCCGGCGGCTCTTCCCTGCTCTGGGCAGGCAACCCCATCAAAGCGAGGCACTGTGGACAGGCGTCAACCCCAAGCAGAGCCCTGGGAAGCCCTAGCCCTAACCCTCACGGGGGCTGACGAGCGCCATCCGGCCTCCCGGCCTCGCTGGCTTCGCTCTCCTGGGAGCTCCGCAAGGCAAAGCAACGTTCACCCCGAAGCCACTGAGGCTTGAGCGCATGTGGGCTTGTCAGAAATGCGGCGGCATCGAGCTCAGAGGCCCTGGAGGAGAGGGGAGTTGGCTGCAGCTCCTGGCCCATCGGCCCCGGCTCGCTCGGTCCGTGGCCGGCCGCCAAAGCAGACACAAACGAATGCAGGGGGGCGGGGCCAATGGCGACGCACCTCCCCTCCAAGGAAGCAGGGAAAGGGCAGGTGGAGGGCTGGGGTGGAAGGGGGCACGGCTGCGCACGGCCAGGGAAACGCGGGCAGGGAAAGTGCCGCACGGAGGGGCTTCCCTCCCCCCACGGGGTCTTCCCAGAAAGTAAATGGTGGCGATCGAGGAGAAGGGAGAGGGCGGCCTCCTTCACGTGGCACATGGACGATGGCATTTGCTAGCAGCAGCTGGAGGGCCTGAGAAGGGAGCAGCCATGGAGGCCGAGGGTGCTGCCCGACGCACGGTGCGGCTGGGGAAGTTCCTGCTGGCTCTCCGCACACGCACAGGATTGCGCCTCCAGACCGCCGAGGGCTACCGGCCGCGCTGGCGCGGGAGGAGGGTGCCAGCTGCGTGTGGGAGGCACTGTGGCACTCCTGCCCCTGGGGGGCTTCCCACGGCCTGATTGGCCGCTGCGGGAAGAGGCCCGGCCTCCGGAGGTCTTCGGTCGGAGGCACCAGAGCCCTTTTTATGTCTAAGCGGTTGCAGGGAGCCCTGTCTGGATCCCTCGCACAGGCTTGCTCAACAGTGGCTTTCTGGCTGGCCGCCCCCGTCCCGCGGCTGCCCGCATCCTGCAAGAGGAGGAACGGCGTTCCTTGGATCAAGCCTCCCAGGCCGGCCAAACCTCAAACGCTCGCCACCTTCCGGAGTCGTGCCCGTGAGGAAGCAACGGATGGGCGCTCCGGGGAGGGAGCGACGGGAATGCTGGGAGCCAGCGGCGGCCACCTTCAAGAGGCCACGAGCGCCACGTGCTTCTCGGAAGCGGAGCCTTGCCATGGTGCTGCCGAGCAAGTAAAGGCTCTGGCCGAAACGGCAGACAAGCGGTCAACATCCGTTCTCCGAGGCTGAAAAGCGATTAAGGAGGATCTGTGGAAACGATTAGCCATGATGGCATCGCTCTGGAACCGCCGGCTCCGAGGCTCCCGACTGCGGAAGGCCTGCTGCCGCGTGGGAGGCGGCTCTTTCCACCCTTGGGGCAGCACGCTGGAGGCCGGGAAGGCGGGCCGTTGCCCCGGTCCGGCAGGGCGAACAGGCGGGCCCCCTCCCTCTCCTTTCTCCCCAGAGCAGCACAAGGAAAAGATGGCTCTCCCCTGTCCCAGGCAGCACTGAGAGGACGGGCTGCGTCCTCCAGCCTGCAAGTCGCTTCCAGATCCCATCCGGATGGGCCCCGGGCGAGGCTGCACGCGGGGCAGCCGGACTTTGATTCGTCCTGCCTCCTCTTAGGCTACCTTGGTGTGGGATGGGGGGGCCTGACCCACATGCTGTCTCTGTGCTGCCCTCTGCCGGCAGACGGGGGACTCGGCCTCTCCCTCCAGCGCCAGTGGATTAAACCCAACTCCCGCCACCTAGTCCCCTTGAGACAACGGCGGGTCCTCTTCCTGACGGCAGAGTTCTAGTCCTCAGGGTTCTGGGCAGGAGGGCAGTCTGAATGCGGGGAATCACTGGATGCTCTGGGGGAGCACATCTCGCCCAGAATCTGCCTCCCAGGGTCCTCAGGCCCCGGGCCAAATGAGCCTAGCAGGCCGGGCGCCTGCTAGCTGGAACCCACCTTCCTGCCCCGAGCCGGTGGTTCTATTCCCTGCACTCCAGGGGGACTGCTAAGACCCCTGGCCTGCCTGGGTGCGACAGCATTCAGGCACCTGCAGAGCGCTCCCCGTCTCCCTGCAGCGCGCTCTGCTCCAGCGGAACATGCCCAGCTCTGTCCAGCTCCCCTCGCAGGGCCTGCGCCCTCCTCTGGACCCCTCCCAGCCACCTGGCTCACCCCTTTGCTACAGCCCCCCTGGACACACGCCCCCATCGCGATGGGCCACGCGTGCGCCTCCTGTCTGGCTCCAGCGCCTGCTTGCGGATGGCCCGGCCGGGCCCCTGTCCCTCTCCTCCCCACCCTCCTCCGGCGCCAGACGAGGTGCCCACAGCTACCACCACCGCCCCACCTCTCCTGCCCGCTGGATTCGCCGCCTTGCCCGCCCAGGTGCCTGAAGCAGAACCTTCCCGGCTGGGCAGCCGGTTAATGATTTGCCAGGCTGCCCCACATCTGCAGCGGGTCCCAGGGAGGGCGGGGGGCTGGCGTGGCGGAGGCGGCGCCGGAGGAGCAGGGCCTGCTTCCGCAGCCTCGTGGCCAGCGGCTGGCGTCTCTTCCGCAAGTGGGGAGAGCGCGGGCCTCTGGGACGCAGGGGCCAGGCCTCTGCTGTGCATGCAGACATCCTGCAGGTCATCCTCCGGCTCGAGGGGGAGCGAGCGAACCTCCCCAGCCCAGGTAGCAGGGCCTTTCCAGACTGGGAGGAAGAAGCGGGCCATTTTAATTCCTCATCATACCAGAGACCTACACAAAAGTCAGGAGCTGCTTGTTTCCTTTCCCACCTCGGCTGACCAGACTTTTGCACGGCAGTAAAAAAAAAAAAAGAAAAGAAAACAAAGAAGCAACACACATGACCACAAACAGCCTTGAAAATTTGAGCAGACGGCATGCAAGGACTTCTTTCTACACCCAGAGGTGGCCTCCCTGGAGGATACGCCTCCCTCTGCTGATTCTGGGCACAGGGGTCTCCTTGTGGTGGGCAGAGGGGGCGAGAAGTCCCTCCTCCTATGCTCAGGTGCACTCTTGCTCAGCCGGTCACCCCTCCCAGGGCCGATTCACTGCAGGAGATTCACTCCAGGTCAGTTCTGCAGGGTGCTCCTGGGGAAGAAGGGCTTCTGCAGCGAAAAGGACGTGCGGTTCTGACTCCGCAAGAGGAAGATTGGAAGCTGCCCCCTGCGAAGCGAGACGCGCGTGCCTGCCTGGCCAGGGCGGTCTGCACCGGTGGGCAGCGCGGGCTCGCCAGGGTTCAGGCAAAGGGCTTTCCACCGCTGCGAGAAGATAACACGGACGGAACCTGGGATTTTTCCACACGTGGGGCAGATGCTGCAGGCCCTTCCGCAGCTGCTCTCCCTCCCTCGGGGCGCGTGTGACTTCTGCAGCTAAGAAATGAAAGGGGCGGGGGGGGGGGGGGCAAGGCCGGCTCCTGTCCTTGGGGCGTGCGACGATAAGGGTTTATCACCATATTCGGGGCATATATTAAAAGGCCCGGCCGCCGCCTCCCCTCCTCAGACCCGAAGGCAGCCTCTCCCGCCCGCCGCAATGTGGAAGCTCCTAGTCACGCTCCTGCTCGCCGCCGAGGGTAACGTGCCGCCCCGGGGCAGCTGGCTCCCCAGCCCCTCTGACCCCACTGCACGCTGGCCACCCTCGCTCCCGGCCCCCCGGCAGCCTCTCGCCACGTGGGCTGGGATCGCGCGGATCCCACCCTGCCCGAAAGGCCACGCGTCCCATCGGGGCTCCCCCGAGCGGTTCCTGGCCAGGGCTGAAGGCTCGGGGCAGGGGAGCCCTTCTTCTTCCTCCCACAGCCGAGAGGAGCAGGTCCAGGCCATGCCGGCAGCAATTCTGCCCAGCAGGGGGCGACAGGCTGGGCGGGCAGGGGTGGCCGAGTGGAGGACGGAGGGCACTGCGGGAGAGGTCCCGATCCTGGCACCACCGGTCAGACGGAACCGTGTGGCGTTTCCGTCTCTTCCTCCTTCGGAAAGCACGGCAAACGCAGCAGGGGGCCCCGTGGAATTCACTATGGCTAATTCTAAGGGCCCAGTGTTAGACTCCGAGGGGTCCCGCTCGGCACCAGGTGCGGCAAGCGGGAGGACGTGCGCTTTGGCTCCGCTGCAAGGCAGCTGGACTGGTTAGCTGCAGCGGGAGGCGGTGGGCGTTGGTGGAAATGCCGCCGCGGAGAGCGCTGCAGGCACCTGGCAAGTGGCCGAGCGAGGGACCACCCTCGTGGGCTCCAGCCCCCGGCAGGGGATCCTGGGAAGCGCGACCAGCCAGAGCACTGCACCCGATTCTCCCCGCCGGATCTGCGGTGCAGTCGGGGCCCAGCCCCGTCCCATGAGCCTCTGGCCGCCGGGAACGGTCGGGACGGCGCCAGTGACCCTCTCCCTTGCCCTGCTTGCCTTCCCAGCTAGCGGCTGTGGCCAGCCCACGTACTCCCCCGTGAAGAGAGTCGTGAACGGCGAGGACGCGATTCCTCACAGCTGGCCGTGGCAGGTAAGCGCAGCCGCAGCGGGCCTCGCACGCCCAAGGAGAGCGGGGAGGGGCGTCGGGGGGGGGGGCGGGGCCCCCCCCCTATGTGAAGACCCGCATTTGGGGCGTCTCGGCTGACGAGGGGAAGGCGTGGGAACCGTGCACCTGGTGATGCGCGGTAAGCAGGCGAGGGAAGCTGTTCCCCCTCCGAGGCTGCTTCACCGAGGGAGGCGCGAAGTCGGGGTGGACGAGTGAGGGTTGCTGTCCATGCAGCACAGGGTGAGCATACGGGCCCGGCCTCTGCGTGATGGGCCGAGCCCCCCAGCGTCAAGGGCGTCGCAAGCGGATTAGACCAGTTCAGGCAGGCGGAAGCGCTGTTGCCCGCCGTGGGCGTCGCGCAGGCCCCGGCCGACCGGCCTCCGAAACCAGGCGTGGGCATCGCGTCTGACCCGGCGTGGCGGGGCCGCACGTGGGCCACCGGCCGTGCTCACACGGTCCAGCCAGCAGCCCTGCGTGGCGACCGGCGGGGGGCTCCTTGGCATGACCGAGGGCTTCGGACATTATGGGGGTTTCTGGACCCCCTCCTCATGTCCCAGGAACAGCCCTCTGCCCACTCTGCCCCTCTGCCAGGTCTCCCTGCAGTACCAGGCCGGAAGCGAGTTCTACCACCTCTGCGGGGGCACCCTCATCGGCCCCAGCTGGGTCATGACGGCCGCGCACTGCATCCTGTGAGTCCGGGGTTTGCGCGGGGGGGGGGGTTAAGCTCCAAGGGGAATGGGGGCGCTTGAGGCAGAAGGCGGGCGCTTCCCTTCGGGGAGCGTCCAGAGCTTGGCTACTGGGTCCCTGGGAAGAGCGCGGTGTCGTTCAGGCTGGCCCCCACCTGACTTCAAGCATAACATTGAAACGATCCAGAGAGGGAGGAAAGGGCACGGTCCCCCGAGTCCAAGCTCGCCCCCCCCCTTGTTTGCAAAGTGCAGGAATGCGTCTGGGGTCTGAGAGGCTCGCAGGTGCCTGCCCCGACTCGACTCGGACGCCTGCCTGAGCCGCCTCCCTCGGCCACGACCACGATGGCCGCTTTCCCCCATCAGATCCGGCTTCAGCTACAGGGTGGTGCTGGGCGAGCACGACCTCGGCACGGTGGAGGGCACGGAGCAGAACTTCCCCGTGGACTCCAGCAACATCTTTGTGCACCCCGGCTGGAACGAGAACTGTGTGTCTTGCGGGTAAGTGCCCCAGCTCTACCTGAGCTCCACATGCGACAGGGCAACGCCTCGGGGGGGGGGGGGAGAAAGCCAGCCCGCCCACCCCGTTCTAAAGCGGAGGGACAGTGAGAGTCCCCGCAACTGGTCTGGGTTGGGAGGCGTACGGAGAGTGCGGGTCAGTTCTGCTTTTCCACATTACCTAAAACACTTTCCTCTGCCCCAGCGCACACACACACGCAGATTTTTTTTCCCTGCAACATAAAGCTGCAGTGAGACCTAGCCCTCTGTCCACAAACAGCTGTCCCAACAGTAAACCCGGAAGCACAACGGAACGTACCATATTTTTCGCTCTATAAGACACACCTGACCATAAGACGCACCTAGTTTTTAGAGGAGGGATCCATGGAAAGCTTCCTGATAATCACAGGCACATTCCCCATCACTTCCCCATGGGCTTCGTTAAAAGACGGGTTGCCATTTGAAAACACACACCGACCTGGGATGAACAGCTCTCACCTGCGCCGGGGGGGTGGGGGCGGAGCAGGGCGCGCCGAGCACGTGCCGGCCAGGTGGTGCCACATGGTGCAGGCGGCCGGCAGCGTCCCGGGAGTCGGGCACACACACACATTCGCTCTATAAGACGCACAGACATTTCCCCTTACTTTTGAGGGGGGGAAAAGTGCGTCTTATAGAGCGAAAATACGGTATCTCATTTTCTGGCACGAACACCTGGCTGTAACGAGCCCGCTGCCAAGTCAGTTAGCTCGTTTACGTATCGATTACTGCAGCCACCACAGGAGCCTGCTCTGGCTCAGGAATGGAACAGAAATGCTACAGATAAATAAATAAATAAATGCCCCCCCACGCGCCTTTATCCCAGAGTGCCAACAGACAGCAGGGCCAGGCGAGGCTTGCCGCCAGAAGCCGGCCTGTGCCCGGACGGGAGCTGCCAAGTGCCGCCGGCCCCCGGAGGCATCGGGCGCTTCCGCTCCTCCGTCCCCATCGAGCGAGGGCCGCCTGGGGTGCTCCAAGTCACCTCAGTGCAGCGAGAACCCGCAAGCCGCATTTCCACGGATGCTTCCCAAGCAGAGCACCGGCAGCGCGAAGCACCTGCTGGATTTTGGGAACCCAAACTCATAACCCTCAGCTGGATTCCAAAGCAGAGCACCGGCGGCGCAAAGCACCTGCCGGATTTTGGGAACCCAAACTCATAACCCTCAGCTGGACGGCAGGCCACAAATACGAAAAGAAAACGGCCACAGAGAAACAAGCTTCCACGGACGGGGCAGCGTGTGACGGCTTGGGGCTGCGTGCAGGGCAACCATGGAGAGGGGACAACTGAGCGCCCTCTGCAACGGGGGTGGGGGGGAGGTCGAGAGCTCCAGGGCCATCGAAGGAACGGGACAGGTGGAATGCGACCCGGCCTCCCCCAAAGCTGGGCTTCCCCCAGTGCTGCCTGGGCCCCTGGGGAGCACCGGCAGCACGCCCCATGCAAGGAGGGCAGGGCCAACAGAACTCGGGGCAAGCCTGGACCGGGCCTGGGAACGGACCAGGGATGGCACGGCTGGTGCCGCCACGGGGTCTTCCCAGCCACACGGGGCAGCGGCTCACTGCTCCCCCTTCCTCCCCCAGTGACGACATCGCCCTGATCAAGCTGTCCGGCACCGCGGCGCTCAATGACAAGGTGCAGCTGGGGTGCCTGCCGCCGCCGGGAGAGCTGCTCCCCAACTGGTTCCCGTGCTACATCACCGGCTGGGGAAGCCTCTACAGTAGGTGGCTCCACCCCGGGAGTGGGGATCATGCCCGCGGAAGCAGCGGGCAGGGGCTGGGCGGGACACGGCAGGGGGCCCCACGTGCCGGCGGCACCAGCCACGGCCAGTCGCTGGCTGTGCGCCAGAGTTTAACCAGGCTCCTTCTCTGCCGCAGCCGGGGGGTCCATCCCATTCATCCTGCAGCAGGCGCTGCTCCCGGTGGTGGACTATGAGCACTGCTCGCAGCCAAACTGGTGGGGGACCACGGTTTCGAGGAGCATGGTCTGCGCTGGCGGGGACATCCGGGCTGGCTGCAACGTGAGTAGCGAACAAGAGCCCCAGAAGAGACGAAAACGGGGCTGGGGCTGGGGCGGGAACGCTTGGGAGCCCTAGGAGGAGGGGGGCCCTTCCTGCCCCAGAAGCAGCGATACCTGCAGGGATGCGCTCACTGGAGGAAGCAACGTCCGGGCCGGATCGGCCCTTTCTGAGTAGGCTAGCAGAGGGGGCCACAACCGGGCCTGCTGTACCGGATGCCAGGCACCCCCAGTCCCAGCCCCTGCCAGGGGAAGGAGGCCAAGCAGAGCCGGGTCGGGCCAGCACGCTCCTCACCGCCAGGCCTGCCGGGCACACGGACCGTGCACAGCTAGCCGGGGAGAGCGGGGCCCCACTCTCGCCTTCGTCCCGGGGGGCTTCCTTGCCCCGCCCCGCCACGCAGGCAGTCGCCTGACACGGAGTGCGATTGCAGGGGGACTCGGGCGGCCCGCTCTCCTGCCAAGCTGCGGATGGGAGGTGGTACGTGCATGGCATCGCCAGCTTCGTCTCCATCATGGGCTGCGACACCCCGGAGAAACCCACCGTCTTCACCCGCGTCTCGGCCTTCAATGCCTGGATCGAGACGGTACGGGCCTTCTTGCTTCCTCTCCACCATGCGGGGCCAGGTGCCACAGGCCCCACGGCCGGGACTGCCCACCCCTCTCACCGGGGAAAGGTCGGGCCTCTCCTGCCAATTCAGCAGCTGGCCTGGCGGGAGGGGGCAAGGGCGCCACGGGCGACTCCGTACGCCGTCACTGACAACGCCGCTCTGGCTTTGCTTTGCTTTGCAGACCATCGCCAGCCACTGAGGCGAGGCAGGAGCCCCTCCTCCAGAGCGAATGTTTCGGCTGTCCGGGGAATAATAAAACCTTTCCTGGAAAAACCATTGACTCTTCTTTTCCAACGGTTCCCTTGCCCATCACTGCTATTCAGAAATTTGCACAGTGGGGTTATTCACCTGCCCTGGATTGGGCCGCCGGATGCGCACCCTTTCAGCCTTTGGAAGGGTGCACGCACATATACATGGAACTAACTGTGCCAACAACCTCCCCCCCCAAAGTTACTGGGCTGCAAAACAATTACTGACTGCTTGGAGGCGGCTGGGTCACTCACGGCCCGGAGGCAGCTCTCTGTGGCTACGGAGGGAGTGCTGGAGTCCAAGGCTGAGCTAAACCGAGGCTTGCCATTCCTGACCTCCCACACAAGAAAAGCAATTGGTAACACACCTGGAAGGGAGCGGGCTGCACCCCTCCCTTACCTGTAACCTTTACCTGTTGATTCTTCTCAACAAGTCAGAAATACGTTGGCTAAGCAGACTAATGGTTTGCCCACTGGCTTCCTGTGTTACATCACGGCAAGCAGTAATTGCTGGACTGACTCTCTGGAGGGTTGAGGAGCAATCAAATATCCTTTCAAACTTGTCCAAACTGTCACCAAGTCTTGTGACAGTGAGTTCCAGATGCAACAGGGTTCATTAACAAACAACTTACTGGGCGAATTAGGGGTGTTTAACTCAGACAACTGCATGTGCCCAGGTTTGGATGCCATCGAAACTAGCTGTGAATGTTGCATGCAGAGGTTGGCTGTCAGAATTAGACCTGGCTCACCCACAGGGCACGTCCCCACAAAGAGCGAACTGCCATCACATTCCAACTGCGTGAAACTACCAGTCTAAAATTGTTTCTAGGTTGCCTTTAAAAGTAGAACTCTCTCAACACAGCAGAGAAAATAGCAACCAGCAACAATAATAAAAACAACAGTAAGAAATAATACAGTAACAGATGAACTTACCAACAAAGAGCAGCAAGCAAGGCCTCTGAGAAGAGCAGCGACATCAGGGCGGTCTTTGGAGCGTCCCTGAAGATCCGCGGCGATGCAGCCCCGTGGAAAGCGGCCCCGGGTCTGGGGCACCACTGGGGGGTTCTCCCGGGCGACGGTCCCCTGCTGGGAGGCGGCGTCAAGGGCCGGGATGGGGCGGCAGGGCCAGGGCGAGAAGCTCGGGGTGAGGCGGCATCCGCGTCCGCGTCCCCGGGGGGCTCTAGCAGCGAAGCAGTCACGGAGCAGGCCAGGAAGCGGAGGAGGCGCCGGGGCGGCCGCGCAGCGAGGCGGCCACACAAGGACCGGCAGGACCCGTGCGGCCGAGGCGGGGCCTGGAGCCGCGGCCTGGCCCGCGCAGTCCTCCCGGGGCCGAGCGCTCCGGCCGGGCGGGGAAGCAGTCCCGCAAGCACCGCCGCCTGGCTCTTCTCGGCCGGGCCGCCGGAGCAGCCAGATGTGGACAGGTGGGCCGGTGCCGGGGGAGGCAGTCGGCCAGGGGGCCCGGGCCGCGACGGCCGCACCCTCGGGCGGGCGGGCTGCCTGGGCAGCGCCGGCGGCTGGCGCTCCGTCGGGCCGGGCGCTCCCCGCCGCCCCGTGACGCTGGGCCTCCGCGCCCGCTCGGCCGGCCCACCCCGCGGGGCTGTTGTGAAGGCCGCAACCGGCGAGGGCGCCCGCGGGCCGCCGGGGCTTCCGGGCGTGACGCCCGAGGGGAGCGCGCCTCCGCCGGCCGGCTTCGAACAGCCCGCGCCCCGACGGCGCATGCGTGCTCTGCGCAACGGGCCGCGTGCCCGGCGAGGCTGCTGCGCATGCGTCGAAGGCCCGCGTGCGTCGCTGAGGGCACGTGCGGCGGCAGGGAAGGAGGGCGGCGAAGGGCCGAAGGGGCGGGGCCGCAGGGTCACGTGGGGCGTGGGCGGGGCCACGCGTAGCCCCGGACGGCCTGTGGCGCCCGCGGCCGCCGCTGGGGGGCGCGCTGACCCCGTGGGAGAAAGCGCGCGTCCCTGGCCTCGGCCGCCGGCGGCGGGGTTCCGATGGCGGAGGGCAAGGCGGGCCCGGGGCCTGCCGGGGCCGCGAAGAGCGGGGCGGCAAAGGGCCTGCGGGACAGAGAATGGGGCGCGGGGTGCAGCTGGAGGCAGGCAAGCCACGGGAAAGGGCGCAGCGACGGTGCCCACGGCCTACACACGCCTGATCCTCCCAGACACGGGGGCTCTGTGTCCCCCCAGCACTGCTTGGCTGCTTCTGAATAATGATGGAGGGGGCAAAGAAGGAGCCAGTGCGAAGAAGAGAAGAGGCTTTTTGCTGGAAAGGTTTTATTGTTGTCCGGACAGCCGAAACACTCGCTCCGGAGGTGTCGCAGCCCATGATGGAGACGAAGCTGGCGATGCCGTGCACGTACCACCTCCCGTCCGCAGCTCGGCAGGAGAGCGGGCCGCCCGAGTCCCCCTGCAATCGCCCTCCGTGTCAGGCGACTGCCTGCGTGGCGGGGCAAGGAAGCCCCCAGGGACGAAGGCGAGAGTGGGGCCCCGCTCTCCCCGGCTAGCTGTGCACGGTCCGTGTGCCCGGCAGGCCTGGCGGTGAGGAGCGCGCTGGCCCGACCCGGCTCTGCTTGGCCTCCTTCCCCTGGCAGGGGCTGGGACTGGGGGTGGTGCCCCTGCAGCCGTAGGGGCAGCTAGATGGTGCGCAGCAGGACAGACCAGGATGAGCTGAGCCGTGTGCCTACTCACCCCGCTGGCCAGGTGAGGTCCCGGCCCCAGCCAGTGCCGTCTGATGTGGACTAAGGGTGGATCTGTGTTTGCTCTGGTCCTGCGCCTCTGGCTCTGAGCGGCTTTTGTGCACTGCGCCTTTGGAAGCCTCTGCTGAAAGGGGGGGATGCGCTCCGATTTCATCCGCCTCCCAAATCCAGTTATTCCTCCTCAGCGCTGCAGAGGGTCATGACTTGCTTCCCCGATGGATAACGCACGTCCAGGGCGGAGCAACACTGATCTGCTAACGCAAAAGCAAGTCCTTAAATCAAACCGTGTTCCCCGCCGGCGGGCCTCCTCGTCCGCCGCAGAGAAGCGGAAGAGTGACGTGGGGGAGCAGGGCCCGCGTCTCCCTGCGCGCCTCCGAACCAAACAGGTGGCAGGGATTTCTCCATCCCGTCTGAACTGCAGCCCTTCTGCTCACGAGGACCCGTTTTAGCCGCTCTCCTCCGCCAGGATACCACGGGGATTAGAACTCGGCACTCCATCTTCCTACTTACCCACAATTTATGCAGCGGGGTCCCCGTCTGTGCACAAGGGTGTCCCCCGAGTTCACCAGGATGTCCTGCTCGGGGCCCTCCTTGCTCCGGTCGTACTTGGCCAGCGCCACCTCGTACTGGAAGCTCGTTCTGCAAAGAGCACAAAGCCCTCTTTCGGGCTGCACCGAGGAGGCCGTGGGGGGCAGCGGCTGGAAGGCCCCGTTGCGCCACGGTGCGATTCGGGTGTTGCAAATGGGATGCCCTTCGAGAGGGGAAAGGACCAGAGAGGGACGCTGGGGCCTGCAGGCTCCTGGCTACGTGCGGAGGGTGGACTTGGGAGATGCGGTGTGCGGCGGTCATGACCCAGCGGGGGGTGACGAGGGTCTGAGGAGGGGAGGTGGTGGCCGGGCCTTTTAATAGCTTTCCAAGATGGAGTGCCCTGCAGCTCTCACTCTGTGCCCCAAGGACGCCGTTCGGCCTTGGCTATGTCCCATTTCCGATCCGTATCTCTCCTCTCGGGACGTCACGCTTGCGCAGAGGCACAGAAAAGGGCCGGCATAGGAGAGCAAGCCGAAGGTCCCACGCTCGGTCCCTGCCGATTCCCGGCAGGGCCGGCAGAGACATGCGCACCGTCCCCGTGGAGGCGCAAGGCACGCCGGGGGTCGCTGGATGCCGGCCGGCCTTCCAGCCCCACTCAACCGCTCCCACCGTCAGGTGCCTCCAACGGTCTAGTCAAGCCCCGCTCCCAAGCCTGCTTTGGCTTTGCTTCTGCCTGGGGGGTTACAAAGAAGAGCGGCTGCAGTGCGAAACGTGCAGCCCTCCCCTGCCCCGACTCCGTAAGCAAAGATCAACAGAAAGGAGCACATCCTGAGCACAGGTCGCCTGGCAGACAAGGACCTGTCCACAGAGCGTATGGCCCAAGCTCGGCAGAGGGGCATCTTGGTCCCCAGAGCAGCCGGTGGGAAGCTGTCGGGCTGGCCAGTCTCCTCTTCTGCTCTATCGTGGATGGGCTTCCACGGGAGGAGGTTGAGGCCCCGTCGGTGAGGGCGTTCAGGGATAGGCTGGACATGCACATGGTGGGCACATGTTGTGAGCAGTGCCTGCTGGAGCCAGGGGTCAGGCTAGATGGCCCGGAGGACCCCTCTGCATGAAATGAGGTGGAGGGTTCCCCTCCCACCCTCTGAATCCGGGAAACCGCCAGGAGAATCGCCCGGCCTGTCCCCCAGAGGCTCAGCATGGGCTGGGGCAAGAGTCGCGTGCTTGGGAACCGTGCGTGGCAGAACCAAGCAGGTTTTGCCCTTGGAAGGGGGGAGCTGGGGGCTCCCAGTGAAGGTGGGACTGCGGGAGCAACCTGACAGCCTCCGAAACGGCCACAGTGGCTCTTCCGGCTAATTAAAGAGCGCCTGCTTGATTCCACTTAGGGTGTGTATTGCAAAGAAAAGGCCTCCACTGCTTTTTTCTCCTGAAGGAAATGAAACCCAAGCAAACTGCCCCACCAGGAATGTGTGACCGGAGACACACAATATACAAAATGCGGGAACTGAGACTGTGTGCAGCTGCGAACACGCGGCTTGCGAGGGTCCCGGCGGCGATGGCACATCTGCAGCGGGATGCGAGAGGCGCAGGCCTTCCCCTGCCCCCCGGGACCTCCAGCCTTCCCCCGACCGAGGCAGGGCCACTCCAGCTTCCAAACTAAAGCGTGCCCATCCGACGACGACAAAGGTTCCAGTGCGCCATAAACCAAGTCGGCTGCTGCAGCCGGGATTGAGCCAGCTGGCCTTCACCGCAGCTTTTGATCTTCTCACTGTGAACATGGAAGCCCTTCCTTGCGCAAAAACATGTTTTTCCAACCAGGGTTATTTGTCAATAATTAACAGGCCCCCCCACCGCCCTGCCGCCGCCACCTGGACACCTGCTTGCACTCCCCAAGTGGCTCCGTCCAGCCCCTTCCTTCCACGCCACCCAAGTCCGTGACTTGCCCTTCGAAGCCTTGAGCCTGAATGCAGCACTGGCGGTTCCCAAGCGGGGGGGGGGGGGGCTCAGGGGCATGGCTCCCATGCAGCGGGCTCCTAGCACTGCTGGCAGAAAACCGGGGTGCTGCGCTCGCGTTGCATCTCCCCGAACGGCTGCCCCAAACAGTTTCTTGCTCCTGTGGCGAGGAACGAGGTGGAAGGGGCAGCAGGCGCTGTGCCAGCGTGCCACGGGGCAGACCGGGCACCTCTTCCGGGCGACACACCCGGTGGATGCAGGGCCACCTCTGCCTGCCGCGTGCCCACGCGCCTGGCGCGGCTCGAGCCAGGCCGGCCCCCAGAGAGCGGTGGCTGTGTCCCCCGCTTCCTCGAGGCCGGCCGGGGGGCCGGGCGGCTTCCGCCTGCCTGCGAGGGACGGATCAGCCCTCTTGCTCCCTGGCGCTCGCCCTGGCCGGGCGGGGGCCACGCGCGACCTTGCCCGTAGGAAAATGGGGCCGCCGGACAGCTGTGGCCGAAGCCGCCCCTGATAACGGGCCGCATAAAAGGCCTGGCCGTCCGAGCACATCGCCTGTCAAGATGCTGGCGCCGTTGCTGCCCGTGCTGCTGGTGGCTGTTGGTAAGGAACGCTGCCCCTGCCTGCCCCCCCCTCGCTCTCGCTCCCGCTCCTCAGGCCAGCCCAAGCCCTCGGCGTTCCCACAAGGGGCAGCCTCACCGCCCCCTTCCGCAGGCAAAACTAGGGACGCAACTGTGTGCAGGGCCGGCGCCGGACACGCCGCAGCCCGTGTGGGAGATGCCCTCTGGGATGGCGGCCCCTTCCTGCTCAGAAACCAGCCCCATGGGCGGCGGATCCTGGGCCGGCGAGGGGTGCCTGAGGCAGCCAGTTCGCCTGGGGGGCGCCCAGCTCCGTCCCTCGGCATCGTGCCCCCTCTCCGTGCACGGCGGCTGGCCCAGCTTGCGGGATGCGGGGCCCGTGTGTTTCATGGGGCCGCCAACACAAGCCCCGCTCAGAGAACACAGGCCCGAGCATGGCAAGTGGGAAGCCCGTCGGAGACAAGCCGCCGGGCCGGGCCGGGGGGGTGTGCGTGCCCCAGCCGACCTGCCCTGCTCCGCTCTGCTCTGCTCCGCAGCCTCGGCCTCTGGGAAGCCCGTCTACTCTGCCAGTGCCCGGGTGGTCAACGGCGAGGATGCAGTCCCCTACAGCTGGCCCTGGCAGGTGAGCGCCCCCCCCCCGTCCTCCCGTCCCTCGCTTTCAGCCTCCCTCCACTTCTCATCTTGAAGTCGTTCCTTCTTCATACTTTTCACGGGGGTTTGATGCCTGAGGCGGCAGCAGAAAGACACGCACACGAAGCCCAAGTGGGCAGAGGGCTGAGAAGAGCCCACCCGCCTGACCCCCCCCTTCTGCCTTCCCACAGATCTCACTCCAGTATGAGAAAGACGGTGTCTTCCGGCACACCTGCGGGGGGTCCCTCATAGCCCCCAACTGGGTCATGACCGCTGCTCACTGCATCTCGTAAGGGCCGGGCATCACTTGGGGGGGCCTGGTGGAGGGAGCTGCTTGCCGGGCGGTGGCAGCTATTTCTTTCCATCTGCAGGAAGGCCACCATCTTCCCAGGTGGGCCGACCAGGTGATCCCAAAATACCTGCCGAGCTTGGCTTAAAGCTCTTCTTGGCAGTGGCAAAGCAGCTTCCCGGCCGTTCGGAAGTGCCAGGGTCCGTGGGGAGCAGGCAGCGGAACCAGGGGGTGGCGGGCAGGGTCTGAGCCCTGCTCGGGGCTTGGGGCCAGGGCACGAACTGGGGACACGGGTCAAGTGGGGGAGGACGTGCTCGGGGCTGAGCCAGAGGTCCAAAGCAGAGAGGGCAAACCGAGCAGGTCCCCCTGGTGGGACTGGACCAAGTGAGGCTCCGCTGAAGGGCAGGCGCTGAAGCTCCCGGCCGAGGCGGCTGCTGGGGGGAGTCGCTGCCCTGAGACAGCTCTTCCCCGGCTGGGCGGTCCTGCAGGGCCCGGCCCAATCTGGTGGTCATTCGAGTTCTGGCCACCAGATGGCGCTCCGGAGCCGCCCAGCTCCTGACCAGCGGGGGGGGGGGGGGATAAAAGCCGGAAGCTCCCCCCATCTGTGGCTGCAGGTGCAGCGGGGGTGGGGGGCTTGCAGAACTGGCCCCCGGGCGTGTGGTTCTGCACTCCTGGGTGCCCACCGCTGCTGCTGTGGGGGCACCGGGGCAGGGTCTCTGGGGCGCCACGGGGAGCCCTCGCCTGGGTGCCCCCGCAAGGCCTCTGCTGACGGCCCCCGCCTTGCAGAAAGTCCCGCAAGTACCAGGTGGTGCTGGGCGAGTACGACATGGGCGCGGAGGAGGGGGCGGAGCAGCGCATCCCCGTGAACTCTGGTGACATCTTCGTGCACCCCAAGTGGATCTCCATCTGTGCGGCCTGCGGGTGAGTGGGGTGACGGGGCCCGGGGAGGGGCGCCCCCCGCCGCGCATGGCGCCCTGTGACCCGTCCTGTCCGCTTGCAGCAACGACATCGCCCTGATGAAGCTCTCCCGCAGCGCGCAGCTGAGCGCGAAGGTGCAGCTGGCCGGCCTGCCCCCGGCGGGGCAGGTCTTGCCCAACGGGTACCCCTGCTACATCAGCGGCTGGGGGCGGCTCTCCAGTACGTAGCGGCGGCGGCCTGGGCGGGGGCATGAGGGAGGGGCGGCCGGCAGCACGGGCAAGGGGGCCCTCTCCCGGCCCCCTGCCCGCCTCCCCCGCCCCGGCAAGCACAGGACACCAGCCCTGGAGAGGAGGGCCCCGGTGGGGAGGCCTGGCACTGACCGGGGTGGGGGGCCTCCCTCCCTGCTTCCCACGACTTATCCCCGCCAGACACCGGTCCTGCCCCCTCCCTCGTCCCCCCAGCCGCCTGGCTCTAATCCGCGTTGCGCCGCCCCCAGCGGGGGGACCCCTCCCCTCCAAGCTGCAGCAGGCCCTGCTCCCCGTGGTGGACAACGAACACTGCAACCAGCCCGACTGGTGGGGCGGCGTGATCCGGCAGAGCATGGTCTGCGCCGGAGGCGACATCCGGGCCGGCTGCAACGTAAGCCAGGCCCAGCCGGGGGCGGGTGGGGGGCGGCGGGCGCCCCTTCCCTGGGCTCGGCCCCGGCTCACCTCGCCGCCGGGGGGCGGCTTCTCGCTTGCAGGGCGACTCCGGGGGCCCCCTGAACTGCCAGGGCAATGATTCGAAGTGGTACGTGCAAGGCATCGCCAGCTTCGTCTCCAGCCTGGGGTGCAACGCCCTGAAGAAGCCCACCGTCTTCACCCGCGTCTCCGATTTCATCGCCTGGATCGACGAAGTAAGTTGCGTCCAGGCGGCCCTCACTGGCTTGCTTGCGGCGGCATCCCCGCTCTTCCTTCCCTTGCTGCCGAGCGGAGGCAGGTGGAGGGGCCGGTCGCCACAAGGGAGGGGGGCAGCTCCAGCGGACCCCCGCTAGCGCCAGGACGCCCCCTCTTTCACAAGGCTGAGCGGCTGCCGCAGTCCGGAGAATGTGGGCATCCCGGCACCTGGAACGGGATGAGAGCAGATGAGCGGCCGCGCGACGCTACGCAGTGGCTGCCCAGAACTCAGAGCCACCACCGGAAAGGTCCCGCAGGCCGGGCTTCCTTCCCGAACGACCCGTTTGCTTTTCTTCCAGACCATGGAGCAACACCCATGACGAGGCGCTGGCATCCGGGGAAGATCCTCCTACTTCTGGAATAAAGCAGCCTAAAGAGAGTCTGCTGGCGTTTCTTTTGTTCATTTCGCGCAGCGTCTTCTGTCTGGGTCAGAGCATCTCCTGCAACCCCTGGGTGCAGGCGGGGGGGGGG